AGCCCCTCCACCTAAGGCCTTCGGATCCCGAGAGACCCCAAATCCCGAAACTTCGGACCATTCCTCCTATGGTGTCGATTCGGAGTCGCTGACGCTCGGGAAATTCAGATCCCGAACCCTGTGTAGGCAAGCTGCAGGAGACCGATATGCACACCTCCTCATCTGGAGTGACCTGTGTCACGGCTTTCAGGCTTCGGTCTTCGAAATGACCAACTACAGTGGCTGGGCATGCTGTCCCCAGCTTCTTGCGTGTGTATACCTTCTGCTCAGGTATAGCACGACTGACTCAGGAACAACTTTTCTGTACTGGTGCATGCGATCACTGCGAGGAGTTTATTAATGATTGACTCGTGCGCATGCGATCACTGCGAGGAGTTTATCAATGATTGAGGCTAGCACGACTGACTCAGGAACAACTTCTCTGTACTGGTGCATGCGATCACTGCGAGGAGTTTATCAAAGATTGAGGCTAGGTTGGGTTAGTGCACGTGTGAAAAAATCGGCAGGACACGTACAAGTACGATGACATGTACGAACCATGTTGTTTTACTGTCTTGGTGAGCCTGTAATCCCTTTTCTCTTGACTCGCCGCGTGAGGCACATGGCGGAGAAAATTCGGATCAACCAGATTCAACCATCCCATGCCTCCATGGTCAAGGTTTCTCGAAACCACCAACGGCCATCTTCCTGACCGGAACATAGTCTAGAGGTCCACGCGATGCTGCCAGCTTGAATTCAACATCTTGCAATGTCGCCTTTGCTTTTCGACAACATGAGGAGGGGAGAAGACGAATCATGTTCCATAGAGGAGGATTACGATTAAGATTTTTTTCAGAACCCGAAAGCCTCAACCATTACCATACAAGGAGGCCCAGCCGGGCTGCGAGAGCCGAAACTCAAAGCCAAAACCCAGAAGTAGAAGGATGCCAAACTCGAACCCCAGCAGTTCAGGGTTGAGCACCCACAACCTCAAAACCTCCCTATAGTCTCCATTGTAGTTCTTTTTTTGGTTTAACCAATCATATATTAAGGATTTTATAAGGTATCCTCACAAAGGAACTACAATGGAGACTATAGGAAACCTCAAAACCTAAACGCGGCCTCAAATCTTGCAGACTGAGCCTGTCCTGGTGCCAGTCGCCCAGCTCAGTTTGCTTCTGTTTGCTCACGGTGTTGACCTCTGCCGAGATTCCGCGATTCCCGCTTTGCTTCGCAGGTTCATGCGTGGCCGAGTTCGCTAAAGAGGTCGCTCGAGATGGGGAGTTCCGAAAATTGGTGACCCTAATAGAGTACTTTAAAAAATAGGATCCCGATTATAAGGACCCCCAAATAAGGTACCCTAATTTTCTGAAACCCTATAGTCTCCATTGTAGTTCCTTTTTTGGTTTAACCAATTATATACTAAGGATTTTATAAGGTATCCCCAAAAAGGAACTACAATGGAGACTATAGGTATCTTGCAGAGGGTTATTGCTGCAGAACTGCATTGCAATACCCTTCAACTTAGAGGCTGAGTACCCTAGCCCAAACAAGGTTAACCTGTTGGGTTTAGGGTTTAGGGTTTAGGGTTGAATTATAGTAGGATTATAAGAGCCCCAAAAGGTTAAAGGTTACCTACTCAGCCACTGAGCCAATGGATCGAAGAAGATAATGTATTGTATTGATGGTTCCTAGAGACTTAGAGGTTCTTTGCTTCGACAGCGGCGTCTTGCTGCTTCGAAGGTTACCGGTGGCTTCAAGCTCACGGGCAGGTGGACTCGACATTCTCAGTGCAGCCTGTAGAAGACTCTAAACCCTAAGCGCCAAACCCTAATCCCTAAACCCTAAATCCTAAACCCTACACCCTAAACCCTAAACCCTAAACATTTCTAGAACAAATTGGGGCGACCAGTTGGGCCGGCACCTGGGCAATACTGCAGCTGTTCAAGCAACTCGGCAGCTGCTCCTCAAACACAACCCAAACCTCCCCTGAGACCCTAAACCCTGAACCCCTAAACCCTGAACCCTAAACCCTACACCCTGAACCCTAAACCCTAAACCCTAAACCGGCCCTAAGACTCAAATTGAAGCCCTTCCGTGCAGAGAATGCCCGGCAGAGCCCCCGGAGACCCCGTCGGAAATGAAGCTCCAAGCTCAAATCTGCCCGGCGACCACTTGGTCCCTTTGAGGGTCCTTTTTTATAAGGGTGCCCGATTAAGGCTTAGGGGTTTAGGGTTTAGGGTTTAGGGTCCTGACAGGGGCCCTGATTTAGAGAACTGCTCACATGCCATACCTGCCCCACAAGTGTCGGGCCGTGACAAAAGGTTTGCTGCTGGCACTCACTTCAGCACCTGAGCATCAATGCATACTGATGATGATGGCAGGGAAGACGACGCTGATGAGATAGACATACTCGGACCGTGCTCTGTTGATAGCCTAAAGATACAGTTGTTCGTTGCTCTGGCTGTTGCTGATGATGAGACGGTGACGAGGAGTGTGACCGTGATTTTGGTCACGGTGGTCACAAAAGGTGATAATTCAAGCTACACTACTCTGAGGCCTTGTAGCCTTGGAGTTTTACTGCTGTTCTCGTCACCAGTGTTGGTCTGAGTCCTTGCTCCAAGTTTTCAGAATACCAAAACTGAGTGTTACTAACCTTTCTTGCCATCGGAATTGATATGTTCAAACTTTTCCCCATAATGTTTGCAATGTTCCCAGACTGTTTGCCATTATTACTGTTGCTATCATGGTGGTACCTCACCTCAAGAACTACTACTTGGAGGCCCAGGGGACTTAGTAAGTAGGTTATAAGTAGAGTTATACTTACCCTAACTGGAGTTACCCCAATTATAACCCTACTTATAACCGCCTTACTCAGTCCCCTGGGCCTCCAAGTAGGGCTCTTGAACTCTGAGGGCTGCACCCTCTTCCAGAGCACAACTCTGTATGCAGAAACTCAACTTGAAGGGCTTCCCTGCGTGAAGAAGGGGTTTAGGGTTTAGGGTTTATAGGCTTTAGGGAGGGGGCGCTGAGGCTGGGGTTGAGGGTTTAGGGTTTATAGGGCTTTGGGTTTAGGGTTTATAGGGTTGAGGGTTTAGGGTTTATAGGGTTTAGGGTTTAGGGTTTATAGGATTTGAGGGTTTAGGGTTTACAGGGCTTAGGGTTTAGGGTTTATGGGGTTGAGGGTTTAGGGTTTACAGGTCTTAAGGCTTAGGGTTTAGGGCTTATAGGGTTGAGGGTTTAGGGCCTTGGGTTCAGTAGGGTTCAGGGTTTAGGGTTTGAGGGTGTAGGGTTGAGGGTTTGCGGTTTGTTGGTTCTGGCTTTGGGGCTTCCTTCTCTAACGTTGAAAGACTGCACCGGCCAAAAAGGGTCCTCCATCACTTCGCCGCATTGGCGTCTTCCGGGATGTTTGACAAGGGGTCTACTTGGAGGCTCATGGGTAGTTATAAGTAGGGTTAGAAGTAGGGTAACTATACTTATAACCCTACTTAGGGGACTTATAGCCCGACTTATAACTACCCATGAACCTCTAAGTAGACACTGTTGCAGAATCTGCAACTTCTCATGCTTGCATTCATTACCGGCCGTGGGGCTGAACAACGGTGTCTTGGTCAGGTTCTGTGTCAGAGAGGCCGGCTGCTGTGTTTTTCTTACTCTCAGCTTCCAGGCATGATGCCAGACGATATGCTAGGCTTCGCCGCCCTCATCGTTTTCCAGACTGGGCAATTAGGAGCACGATTGTAGTGGCAAGCATAAGTCCTATCTCATCGGTTTTGAGATTCACGGTTGCGATCGTCGTCTTTGTTTCGACTGGTCAGACGATCTGATCTCAGGGCAACATTGCCGGGCACATTACAGTAACATGCAGAATAATGTATCAAACAGCGTAGGAAGTTTAGGATTTAATCTCAAACACTCGTATCCCAGACCCCAAGCCCTAAACCTCCATTTACCTTTCGGGATGCTGAAGCCCATAAGCTCTCAAGCCCTGAGCCCCAAACCCTAAACCCACCCTAAGCCCTAAACCCTGAACCCTGAACCCTAAACCCTACACCTCTAAACC